CCCCAAAACCCCAAAACCCCAAAACCCCTCAGCCAGATTTTCAAGTTATTGCTTTAGAAATAATTTTATAATTAGAAATTAATATTCAGAAAATGATAGTAGATCCCTAACTTCGAGTTAGCAACAAAACCATTTCGTTTCAACCTACAACTAGAACTTACATCAAAGACTAGCCGATACTAGGTTACACGGATATAGTTAATGAAGAGAACTAGGTCTACCCATTTGTGAATAAAGAGGAGAAAGTGCCTATTATTGACAACCATATTAATATGATTCCCTTGCCACGAACTCACACTATGCCTCACTATTTCGGGTGTCCTTGTAATCACTGTAGAGCCCTGCTAAATGTCAGGTAGTTATATGAAGAGACAAAACTTGAAAATGAAAAAGCATTTATGCAGATCAAGGCGCACAATTTTTAGCAGAAGAAACTCTAGTTACAAAATGAAGTGAAGGATCTGCTTGAGTTTAAAAATAAAATGGAGAGAATGACAGAGACTTAAAAGAAAAAGCATAAAAAACGCAGAAAGATGTTCGATGAAAGAGACTACAACTTAATGTTTCAACTATAATAGTCGTAGAAAGATCTTAATGAGTTAGTAATTGGAAAGAAAAATTAGTAAACTGAAAAATTTCTGACTGATAACGAGTTGTTAAATGGTAGACTTAATGCGCTTGAATCAAATCAATTAAATAATCAGTGGAAAGACCATTACTAGAAGATTGACAAGATTCATGAAAAAAGAACTTAAGGACTTGAAAACTATGTTAAAAACTAAGCAGATTAACATCGATAATGGCTTTAAAAGTACAATGATTGGTACTAAACTGTAATAGATAATTAGCAAGAACAGCAATAGCAGATGCATGAGATGCTGAGTAAAGCCTATAACTGGAACCCCTACACCTAATCTTACAATTAGCCATAGCAATAGTATTAGCCCTAAGAGCATGATTTCAGTCGAGATTCATAAGAAAATACTGACAGAAATCATGTTCCGAATATGAGATAATCTGCAGGTGGTGGTGCCTAGAATTTGCCTGAAAGCTATGAAAAAATCTCTCCTTACTTCAATCCCTTTTGGAATCCCACAGTCCCAATGCCTTACCCTGTACAATCGCCGAAAAAAGAAACCTTTCCACCAGTAATTGACAAAGATAACTATAGATCCTAACCAACAAGGTAAAGCTAGCCAGTTGGATTCTTGAATGCCGTAAAAGGCAGCAATAGCAAGGATATCCCTCCTCATCCCAAGTACTCTACATATTGGAAAGTCCTGAATGAGGATAATTCTCTGCGAGAAAAAGCCTATGATTTTGATGAAAGACTAAATTACTTCTTACCCCCATTAAGAGATGAAGGAAAGAATACAAAGTATATTTATCCAACTGTCCTCTCTAATGATGCATTGCTAACTGCTAAAGGAGTTGTTCCTCGAATATGATAAAAATCTGATTCAAAAACTAACTAACTATAGTAATTTATGATAATAATGATATTATTTGCTCAAGATTTTCTAATTTCATAATTTCTTTAACATTCACGATATCTTTATGAATGGGGTTTTGGGGTTTTGGGGTTTTGGGG